TGGGATTGAAATTCGTACCTATGTGAGACTGTGAGACCCCAAGCGGTATTGAGCCACACGGGCTTTTCCAAGATACGTACGTCACTTGTGCTCAGAATCATTTCGTTAGGGATGAGATTCAGAGTTACCTACATAATGCCTCCAGCCTCATCAGCGTCAAGCCCCCTCTCGACACAGAGTTCACATACAAGTCATCTATACCAGACCTCGACGAGACATTGTTGATTATCGCCAGTCTTCCCTGCATTGCTATGTATCACTGTGATATAACTTGGATCACCCCCGAACGACCCTTGGAAAACCAGCAAAAACTTGAACACGGACCACAATTCCTGCATCAACAGCGAGAATCACGAGAACAAGAGGCCGTCTCCGCAGACACGAGAACGCATAGCCACCGGCCTGCGCAGCATCAGCAACAGCATAAACAACGCAATCATCAGCTCAGCTTCGTGAACTCCCTAGTCTCCAAAAGCCGCGGGCAAGAGCTGAAAGAGACCCGGTTACCGTTTGTCAGAGACTTTCTGGCATCACATCATCGGGACGGCAACAACATTGCTAGCGAACACACGAGCGGCCAGCTGAGGTCGATTTCGCTTCCAGAGGTTCTCGCACCTAATCAGCAAAGTCTGTTATCGTCTCTCCCGACCGCATCGTCGGTATCACAATCTTCCCAAGTCGGCACTAGCAGCGCCACGCCGACACGACCCTGCGTATCATCATCACGTCGCCCCTTTGGGTAGGAAACTCGTACCAGGGCGCCAACAACCAGCAAAAAGGACAACCCAAAGATAGCGCTATCGTCTCCGGCGGGCTGCGCTACGGAAAACATAACAAGGCCTAGCCACAACGTGGACCAACTAGTCGCGGCGTTTCTCGCCCCTGAGCTGCATGAACCAGACGCACGCCGTGGCCGTTCTTATTCTTGTCGGAATAGCGCAACATTGAACAGGTTTATTGCACCACCGACAGCGAACCGGCCTCCACCCTCTCCCCTCCCAGCCTGGGACTGAGTGACTGACCGACCGGTGGCAGCGTCTACGACTTTTGACGCAGCCAGCACGCAACTTGTCAGTCTCTTTTCGCTCCCAGCGGTGCCTCTTCGTATTACGCTGTTGTTCCCACTCTGTTCAGCATCACATCCGGGCTGGACCGGGTCTATTAATTGGACCAGGGGCTGTGGAGAGTATCTCCCTCCACACCCATTTCCCAGACATCCATACCCCCGTCCCATCCCGTCTTACGCTATCGGCCGCCATTATTAGGTAGTCGGGCTCCCCTCATTATCGGTATCAGTATCATCACGCACAAATCAGAGACAGAGACAGACGCACACATCACCGAGACACACTCACACACAACCCAAAAGTTGTCTGTCCAGGGGTTACCTACACCTCCCCTTCCCCAAAAAGCATAACTACCAACTCCAACAAGAGGAGAGGGGAAAACAAAAAAAAAGTTTCCGGATCCCCTCTGTCACGGACGACGAAAAACACCGCCAACCACTTTCAAGCTAGCAAAGTTTTTCGTTGGTTGGGCTTTGACTCTGCGGCGACAAACCTGAACCGGTCTACCCAAGGCATCGTGGGTTCTCAAAAAGGCTTCCAGACCACCTCTCGGTTGTCGGCCGGCGCCATTCCACTCCCCTACGCACTTGGCAACCAAGCTCGCGCGCACATATTCTGTCTTATTATTTTTTTTTCCAATTATTCTTTTACTCCTGAATCTTGGTCTTGACTACCGAGTTCATTACCCACCCCCATTATTACCCTGTTTTTCTCTGCAACGCGGGTACTCCGTACGTTGTATATTAGCAGTGGGACTTGTATACACAACCTGAACCGGGACCTGAATATTGTCAACCACATCCCGGCTGGTGGTTAAACGCCCTGTGGCTTGCAGTTTTATTTGGCGCCATTGGACGTGCCATTTCCACGAGGGAGTCCAAGCTTTGATTGCTGTACCTGAGTCTTGCCATATCCTGGAATACCTTATTACACGGCCACACACAGAGAGACGAGATCGGAGACCGGCGACAACGCGATTCTTACTGAGAGTCTCCAGAGTTCTCCTCTTTACGCATCGCCCAAGACTCCGCTTATCACTTCCGGGTCATCCACAAGTGCCTATTAATAAAATACAACCAAGAAGGCCAAAAAGCCATCATCAGCTTCGACTACCGGGGAAGCTACCTAGCTGGCTGCGTTATCCTGCATCTGTCTGCATCGAGTCTGCATCGGACGTGCACACCGCAAACTGCAAAAGGAGGAGAGAGGCACATAATAAACCACATCGTCCACTCACACGCCTATCGCAAGAGAAACAAAACAAGCACACCTTACCACACCTTACATACATATTACTTGATCTTCCTTTCCCCCCTTGCCCTCTACATTTCCCCAGAAGAGGCCCTCAATCTCTGACCAAACATCTGCCCGACAACGGCCACGCCCTCTTGTCCTGCTGCATCTACTCCTCTTTTTCACATTTATTACCGACAGCTGAGAGGGGCTTTTCGAGACCGTTTACCAGCGACCCCCGCAAGCTCCAACGCACGCCCGCCCGCCTTCTCCTCTTCTCGCACGCCAACGGGGGTTCGATTGAAAGGAGACAAAGGACGCTGGATCCACCATTGATCGACACCATCGACAGGGCAGTAGCTCCAGGAGTCGCAGAAGGCTCAAAGTACCTCATTTGGTATTAGTACTCGACACCTGCTCACTCACACTCGAACGATTTGGCCCAAAACCACGAGTCAAATACTCTTCCCGTCTCCCAGCCATAACGCCAACCTGAACCGACGCCTTTTTTCTGTTCCTTATCGAAGGCGAAAAGAAGAATCATAAACAAACCAACAGTGCCAGGACTCTATATAAGTCTTATTGAGAACCGTTGCGCTGTTCACTCGACCACATCACATTGACGACATCGGATCGACTTATCCACCTCCGTCACTACGAGAGCATCACTCATCGAGGCACGCACACACTCACACTCAAACAAGCACCTTTCGATATCACTTCCGAACATCGTCTTCGCCTGGGTTCTTTAAAAAGCCCATATACTCGTCTTATCCACACCCTCAAATACACATATTTCCGATGGGCTCGTCAATAGCCCAAAGACACATTACTTGCACACTATCATTACCATATCCACCAACATCAAAAATGGCCGCCGCAACCACCCTATCCTCGCAGGAGCAAACCTCCAACTTTGCCCTCCAGCAATATCTAGTTCTTCAATCTCAACATGAGGAGCTCCGCCAGCACCTGGACACGATCCGCCCCATGACGACCTCCAACACCTCGCTCTCCTCATCACCGTCCGTGTCCCCGACGCGCAGCACCTGCTCGCCCTTTGGCCAGTACCCTAACGGCGGCGGCGGTAAGAGGCACCACAGCCGAAGCCGCCGCTCGTCGCTATCGAGCCCCAAGACCCGCCGCAGCAGCTCACTCGCGCCCATCGCGGACGAGACCACCATCTGGGCGGTCGCCGAGGAAGAGCAGCGCCTCTTTGACGTCAACGAGGGTATGAAGCGGGCCCTAATGGAGCTCCTCAACTGCGAGCAGGTGCGGAGCGACAGCTCGTTTCGCATGTGGGTACAGTGCCGTCTTATGGACACGGAAAAGGAACTTCGTTCTGAGAGACGACGCAAGAGCGCGCCATGAGCTTTCCAATTAGAGGCATCTCACGCTCTCATCTTTTTGCAGATCGACACAAGAAGCGCAGCATATTTTGAGCCTTTTTGGTCCTACCTCTTTTTCAACCTACCTAATTATGCACCGGATTCTTCTTTTTCATGAGGCGTTGGATTTGACAAGGAGATTAACCATCTCGTCGAATGGCGTTGAGAGGGGATTTGTGTGGGAATTTCAACATTTTGCCGAGGACAGGCATGGCATGGATTATGGCACGACATGGGTCGTCTTGCCCATCACAGAGAGGGAAAAGCTGGGTTTGCATACAGGCGAAGATGCTCTTCTCATCTCGCCTGTCGGATATTTGGTGTTTTACTGGCGAAGGCTTGTTGTAATACACCACAGCCAATCTGCCTTTTTTCACTTCTGGTTTCTTTTTTCTTTTATCGGTGGTTGCAGGAATATCACACACAAACAGCCATCTGGTCCATAGAGTTTGTAATGACTGAAACGACACCAATTACCAACTTTTACCATACCTTTCACTCCATCCTTGACATTTGATATCATGTCTGAATCGGCCTGGTTAAACTCGTGATGAATGCATAGCTTAGTGGTGCTGAGGTGGTGTTGAAGTGGTCTGAGCATGACGGGACCCGGGAGATCACCATGATGCATGCGGAGTTGGAGGTGCATGTCTAGTATAACTCACCTACCTTTGGGAGCTCCATGATGTGGAAATGATCACCATTGCTCTGCTGCGGTGCCGAAATAAGAGAATGGACGAATCCAAAAACATCAGACTTTCCCACAAAGCCTATTCGTACGCCCAATCGGCCAAGCTCCAAAAGCTCTCAAACTGCTGAAAACCGGGGCACGCAATCCGCACAAGATGCTAAACATTGTGACATTGTCCCTGCCATCCTCTAATTCGCCGATCTTCTTTACCGTGCAAATGAAGTATAGTTTGGACGCACGCACTATGTGACGAGAGAGCTGCTGCCGTTGGCGTTGCCTCGCGGACTGGCCCGCACCGCACCTACATCACTTTGACTGCAAACATTCGTTTTTCAAGCTGGAAAAAAGCCAACACGCACCTCACGCACGAACCTGCAACCCCCACCACCGAACGCCCGCCCGCCTGAGCCTAGCGGAAAGCTTCGCATTTGGGATACCGCTTGTTGTTCTTGGCGAAGAGAGACGATTCGAATTCACTGATCTTTCTGTGTTTGGTCAATACGCTGCGCCCAGGTCAAAATCCACTTTGGAAAGCTCCGTTCAGACCAAACCTGCCTACGGCTAGACAGACGACGACGACAACGACGGCGACGCGATCGAGAGGAGGCTCCTACTGCCACCATGTCAGTGCTTCTGGAAACCAGCTCTGGCGATATCGTGATTGACCTGCTGGTCGATTACGCGCCAAAGCTTTGCGAAAAGTAAGTCGCGATTCACCGTCAGCGCTACAACGCTCTTGCTCAGCTAACCAAAGACCTCTAGCTTCCTGAAGCTTTGCAAAGTCAAATATTACAACTTTTCACCAGTCCACTCTGTTCAGAAGAACTTTTCCTTCCAGACCGGCGATCCTCTCGGACCCTTATCGAAACAGTCCGATGGAGGCACCTCTATTTGGGGCCTGCTGTCGGGCGACAGCTCCAAGAAGATGTTCCCGGCCTTCTTCCACCCGAAATTGAAGCATCTCGAGCGAGGCACCGTCAGCATGGCGACGGTGCCCCTGGATTCCGACCCGGATACGCGCGTGGCGGCTTCTCAGTTTATCATCACCTTGGGCGATGAGACGGACTACTTGGATGGCAAGGCCGCTGTCTTTGGCAAGGTCGTGGAGGGCTTCGACGTGTTGGAGAAGATCAACGAGGCCATCGTAGACGACAAGGGGCACCCCCTTATCGACATTCGAATCAAGCACACCATCGTTCTCGATGACCCGTACCCCGATCCCCCCGAGCTGCGAGAGCCCAGCGCCTCGCCTCCTCCGACCAAGTCACAACTCGATACTGTTCGGATCGCGGACGAGGCTGCGCTGCACGAAGACGATGATCTAGATGAGGAGGCGATCGAGAAGCGGCGGAGGGACCGCGAGGCACGGGCCCAGGCTCTCACTCTGGAAATGATGGGTGACCTGCCGTTTGCCGAGGTCGCTCCCCCTGAAAACGTCCTATTCGTCTGCAAGCTCAACCCCGTCACGACGGACGCCGATCTGGAGCTCATATTTGGCCGATTCGGCAAGATTCTGAGTTGCGAGGTCATTCGTGATGCCAAGACAGGCGACAGTCTCCAGTATGCCTTTATCGAATATGCTGACAAGGCGTCCTGCGAGGCTGCCTATGCCAAGATGCAGGATGTCCTGATTGACGATCGGCGTATCCACGTGGACTTCTCGCAGAGTGTGAGCAAGCTGCAACAGGTCTGGAGAGACGATACAAACCAGAAGCGCAGAAAACACGCGTCCAGGGGTGGATTCGGAGGTGTTGACGAGCTCGAAAAGAGGCGGCAATACCGTGACGAATACGAGCGAAATGGAGATGATTACGATCTGGTGTACGGAGACGAGGAGATGAAGGGTCGCCACCAGCGCGCCAAAGACCGTCGTCCCGAGTCAGATAAGCAGCAGCAGCCTGAGCAAGACAGAGATCAACGGGAAAGAGATCGACCCAGATCGGAACAGGTGCGGAGACGCAGTCGAAGCCCCGGACGCTCAAGGGCCATGGATAGGGACAGAAGAGGAGATGGAGATCGATACCGATCCGATGATCGCGGTTCCGGCCGACGGCACGATCAATACGAACGGCGACGTGACGATAGGGATTCGGGTCGCAGAGACCGCAGAGACTGGGACAATCGGAATCGAGGTAGGGATCGAGACTCGGACAGACGAAGATAGTAACAGCAGCAGCAGCAGCAGCAACTGCAAGACGCGCAACTCATTTTCTTCTCGTCTCCGACAATGCTCTTTCAAAACTATACCCAGCCGCCGTTGACCAGACCGCACCTTGCAGCAGTCCGGTCAGCCACAGATGTAGACCCCAAGAAATACAAAAACAATTGACACCACTATTGCCACTGCCGCCCGCGTAAGGCTCGTGTTTCATGAACAACAACAATATCTCGTTGACCTGTCGAGATGCACCGCGGCAACCTGCCTGTAAGCCACCCTTTCGCATCTCGTCGTCGACCAGGGAAATCCGGATGTGGGGAACGAGGGAAGGGAGAGAGATTGCCCTAGCAAAGGCCGTGGGGTTTGACTTTACAACTTGATGTCGCACTTGGCGAACGGCTTGCCCCAAGTAGGATTGGTCTCATCGTTTCTCGCCGTTGCAAACATGGCTATCGAGCCCTGTTCCTTTTCCACACTCGCAAGGGGCCATGTAAGCAAGCGGCCGGAAGCACCGCGGAAGTGGGGACCGACACACATCCTTGGTGTTGCCGAGGGGAGCTTGCATCAGCCTGCTGCGTTTGGTGAAGCTGTCATCTGTCAGTTGTCATATCTTCAAGGTGGTTCCTGTGCTATAGGAGAAGCTGCAACGGAGCGGCATTGAGAGACGGGCCATGGGCCATGGACCGCCATCTCAAATGAAGTCCGCAGCCGCCTCGTGCGAGGTCGGCATTGTGCGACAACGTCTTCGACCTGTCAGGACAATCTCCGATCACATCCTCGCATCCCTCAGAGTTCAGCTCTACGAAGAAGACCATCTAGAATCCTAGAACGAGGTTGCCTTCGGGACGAGAGCTGATGAACTTAAGTTCGCGGTAATTCGTAAAGTTGCTTCCGAACCTGACCGATTTCCTTTATCGTTTGCATTTCGTTCTCGTTCTCGTTGCCGCTGCCGCCTGCAACCTCATCGCGGCGTCTAATAGATGCGGTCTCCTGGTGTAAGGCCTCGCAAGTTCCCCCTTCCAAGGCGTCCTGTATCATCGGTTGCTAATGTCGCACAGAATCACAAGAGTGACAGCACGTCGAGTCTCGCTGCAGAGCTGCTGCAGTTCTTTCTGTCCGTTCTGGCCCGCTAGGCATCAACTCCCCAATCCTGTGCGACCGCGTCTCTCTTCGCCTCAGTGCGAGCGAGACATGAAGATCAAAGCTCGTCAGCTGTGCTACTCCGTGGGGCTCAATGGGCCGGTCGATGATGCTGAGGTTGAGGCGGAGGAGGCCGATTGTCTTCCCAATGCAGAATCTCGTTGCAGCCAAACCACGAAACGGCAACTTTGTTAGCACAGTACGTCGAGTAAGGACACTTGAAGAAACTCGAAAGGGCCCCAACCAACGGATCTGATATTCTCCATCGCCAATGTGTTAATTGTGGAGGCAGCCCGGCTCGGCTCGTCTCGTCTCGTTCTCCTGCGCCTCCTTCGCCTCCTTCAGTCCCTGGCTCTGGTGGCTGCTCTCCATCGCTGACGACCTCAATCAATCTGCTCCGGACGTGGCCGGCCCCCTAGTATGGGCTGTCAGATGGCATTGTGTCTCTAGAAGCCGGTCCAATCGCTTACGTCCTGTGTACCTGTTGCAAACGGCTGCCCGCATATGGATGGGAGAGGGAAAAAAAAAACTGGTTCTGGCTATGACTGGCAGCTCCCCCAAAAGTACAGATGCAGCGCCCCGAAGATGGCTGCAAAAAATTTCCGTTGTCAGCGAAGCCGTCGAGCCATGTGCGTTCTGCTTGCTGCCTCCCGTCCCAGAAGCAGGCACGCACAAGAAATGCCCGGTAACAGGTGAAAGGTGAAGAGAGGATCTGCATCACGACAGCCTGATCGCCGGCATGACGGCCTCACCTTGTTGGGCAAGGCTTTTGTTGCTGCATATGATATCAGTCTTGACGCTGTGCTACGCTGCCAACAACATCTCAGTCGACTCTCGATACGAACTGCTCTCCTAGAGTTTCAGCGAGGGCAGCTCGTTTCTCTTGTCTTGGAATTGCGGCGTAGGCTTTTCCATGAGAGCAAGACGAGAGTGATCCGAGAGGCCTGCGCGCTTCCAGACCATCATCAACGAGGCGAGGACATGTCTCAAATACTGCGAGGGTTTCTCTGGCAATAAGCTCATGCGGAAACACAAGTACTGCCTGGATCTTGAGACTTTGCACCTCGTTGACCTTGCACGCCGTGAGATGATGGCAGGACAAGACTTCGCTGCGGCGACAAATATGTGCTTCACGATTCCAGTCCCACCAGCATGTCAAAAATCAACGGCAAGAAGAAAAAGAAGCTTCTTACACGGATCGAAAATCATCCCTGAGAAACGCATCATTACGGACGTTAGGATCACGATGGAGAATAGGATCCGTCGGCTCCAAGCATGGGCTTAGCATCCATGACAGAATCCTTTTCTCCTAGTTGCTAAAGCGCCATTGGGAACGACGACGCCACGCTGGGCGAGGTTTAGTTACTTAAACTCCTGCAGCTGGACATCCACCCCTGATTCAAATGCACGGGGATATCGGACGACGTAGTATTGCAGCCTTCTTCCTTCCTTAAACCCTCATCACCAATACCGTCAACGGTGAGGTACCGACCATCCTCCGATGCGGGGGCCTTTCGCAGCAAGCAGGCGGAGGAGAGTGCATCACGTCAAGAGAAGGCAAAGGCATGGCACATATGCCTAGCTATTCGTACAGGATTCACGTCAACGGGCATGCATCACCAGCTGGCCGCCCACGGGCGAAGCAACAACGGCAAAGCAGGTGCGGAAGGGAAGAGAACCACACACACCGACACATTACTACGCATACACGCGCACATCCCACCATCGCTCTGTGCCTCAGCGGCCCGTTTGCTATTTCTGTCCCTTCCTTGTTTTCCTCCAAACCCCCCCCCCCCCCTCCTTCGCGTGCCGTGTATCGAAGCTCTTCCCGCTATCTTTATCCAAAAGCAGAGGCGCGGCCGCGGCCGGAACTGCAACGTTGTGGAGGGGGAGGGCGAGAGGGGGGCAGCCAAATCCCGGTCGCCAAGTCGCGGACGATCAGGTTGCAGCACAAGCGAGGGCGAGGGGCCGAGAAACGTGCAGGAAGGCATCTCATCTGCCACAAGGAAGAGTGCGAGGCTTGGGGAAGGGGAGACTGCTGCTGCTGCACACCGAGGCTGGCTCAAGAAATTTCCAGAGCTACTCCGTACAACGGCGCAACAGCAACAGATGGTCTTATTTGGCAGCTCCCCCATCCCAATTCGGAGCCAGGTGTGCGCCCCCTTCGCCCCTCCTGGGCCTATCGAGGCAACCTTGGGCGGCCGTCTTTGGCGGCCATATTCATGCATCTCGTTTGCCCATGTAAGAGTACTTTGCAATGGAAGCAAGGCAAACACCGTGACCGCCGCCAGCTATTTTGGAGGGGGCATCTCTTGTGAATCCTCCTGCGGCCGTATCTCTTCGCCAGCTGAGCTGTCGGTTTGCCTGATAGAAATTCTTCGCGGAACCTCCCGGTACCGGGCTGGCAAATCATGGCTCAAGTTTGTTGCTTGTAAATGATGTATGCAGATGACGGGCTTTGCAGCATTGGCCCCGATGAGTCCATTTCTCCAAGATGCTCATTTCTTACAGGATTCTCTATCTCGACCGGCCAGGGAGATGTTTGGCGAACGAAACCGCTGCACGCACCATGCAGCATGAAGCATGCAGCAGCAACACCGTTAGTTTTCCAGCTTTTCTTGCTTTTTTTTCTCTTATTCTTGCTTTCGGTTCGGCTTTTGAGTCTTTCTTGGCCCCCCTCTCCTTGGATATTTTTTCTTCTTCTTCTTCAGCGAGTTGGCGGTGTCACACTTTGACCGGGCGCCAAGTGGTAGCTAGTAGGCCCAGTACTGCTTGGATGGCTCGTCCCGGGGGTTGACGTCGCTGTTGGTTTCTGGCTGGAGAGCTATTCGGCCGGCTCTCTGTCTTTTCCGTATTTGGCTTTCTCAGTTCTATCATCCTGAACTGTGTGTGTGTGTTGCAGCAAAGGCCGCTTCCGCAGTGTGACACAGGGGACAGCGACACCCACCACAAGCGTATTCACTGTCGATGGCTTGCGTCACGTAACCTTCAGCTTTGTGCATTTTGTGTCTCTCGCTCTCTTCCTATCACTTTTGTACATGAACCGGGGGAAAAGTGTGACTTGCCCTGATACGACCCAATCTCTCGCTGATGATGGCTCTGCTCTTTTCCATCCATTAGTTATCGTGGTAGGGTCACACGATCAAGCGTCCATGGTTTGAACCCTCCAAGTGGGACCGAGATGGCTGTTTTGCCCGACGAAAGGTCGAGCCAAAAAAAGTGTTTGTCGTGTCGGTTTCTTCGGTGTCATTTTGGAAAAGATACCATTCCCATTTCAGAAGCCTTTTTGCCCAAAGCAGATGCTACTTCTGTGCTTCCTCCTTTCCCGTATCCCTTTTTTGTTTCTGTTGCCGACTGGTGAAGTCTAGAATCTTTGGAAGATATAGTGGTTGTTGTGGGGAAACGAACAGCCTGGCTGTGATTCCCATGATACATGTACCTCGTCATCGTGGGAGGATCATCCGTCCAATACATGTTGTCTTCTCCGTTGGACGCACTTGCATCGAGCGTTTATACAAGTCTCGGTTACCATACGACAACTCGGCAGTTTTCTTCAGCAATGGAAATTACGCGCGTGGGGGGTACGTCGAGGAATTGGGTGTTCTCACGGTGTTGGGACACCTGCCTCCTCCCATCACCTCTAAATTTGTTGTCTCGATCCCCAGCAATAGGCCTAGGATGGGAACTCTCCTTACGCGATGGTGGCGATAACTTGGGAACAGCAGTCTCGCTTCCCCAAGCAAGACGAATGTTAAACGTCAGTCTGATTGGATGTGCAGGGGTTTCCAAGTCATCTTTACGGCTGAGAAGAAGATGATGCAGTCTCAAAAGGTCTAAGACCGTTCTTCTCACACTGTCGTTCCCTCTTCTCTCAAGTTGCCAATGAGCTGTGCTGCAAATGGGACGAGGTTCTTCGGGTCCAGCTTGGCCTAGCCCCCGAGAACCCCAGACCCTTTTTTCTCCTCATTAAGAGTTCCAAGATACACCCAAGATGAGATCGACTTTCCCTCCCGGCTGGCCCTACAAGATCTTCCAACGCAGGACTAGGGGCCCCCCCTGCTCAATTAACCTGTCCGCCCCTCGTCCTCCTACCTCTCCGCCGTCGCCGCCCCTCTTCCGTTTGCTCTCCACGTTCCGTCCCTCCAGCCCCAAAGTACCTCCCCCCCGAATCTGCGTTATGAAAGAAGAACTGGAGACAGGAGTGGAGGGGTGTTGATTGTATGTAGACGCTCTCTCTTTCTCTCTACCTCGCTGGGTGTATCCATTCCCCCACACACCCCAGTAGGCCATGCTTGTTTGTCACTGACTACCAGAGCCGAAGTGAGGTCTCCTTCTCCCCCGTTCTAATGTACGTCTTTCTGTGGCTTCCCGCGCCGTCGGTGCTACTGCAGCACCACATGAGTCTCTTTTTTTTCTCCCATCTGTTTATGTAGGTAAATCTACACTACATCTGCTTCTCTGTTGCTTCGGTCTAGTTCAAGGGACCCCCCCAAAAAACATGCTGTAGCAGCCTTGTCTTCCTTCGCCCGTCCGATGACAGATGTCGTGTCTGTGTGGTCCGCAAGCTTCCATGGGGGAGAATGAGAAGAGGGGGGAAAGGTATACGCGCCAATGTAAAAGGAGAGAGAGGTGAGAGGGGGGGCGTGTATGGAACAAATGACCTGATTTTCATATCCATGGGAAATCAACTCTGTGTAAAGAGAATATTCAAGATGTGGAAAATGCCTCTGATGGATGTATTTTGGACAGACAGTCGGAGGGTGTGGATACGTTTGAAGGCATGGTGCAAACACAGGAACAACCAAGTTATCTCTCCTGCGTTGCCGAATCAGAAGATGCGTTCTCCAAGACCAGGATGCGTATAACACTCGCTGGCTGCAGCTGCTTCACGCCTGTTTTCTCGTCGGTGTTGTTTTATTTATCTTTTCTTTTTTAATCCGGGGGGTTTTTATCAATCTTTTCTCCCCATCTTCCCTCATAAGCTGGCCTGGCTCATGTCATTGCCTCTTCTCATTGACTTATTTTGTTTTTTCCGGACTTCCATGTGGAACACTGAATAAGTCTCGAACCTTTTTTCGCCCTACCAGATCTCTACACCTGGGGAAGGTATTCCATCAGCGGACTTGTCTCAACACTTTCCTCTTTCTTCAAGAAAGTAACGTCTCACAAAGAGGCGTGAGGAGAAAACAAGAACAAGATCTACCCTCATCCAGCAACTCACCTCTTATTTCCTCCTTTCTCCTCTTTCTCTTTCTCTGTTTCTGCCTCTACCTCTGCCTCCTACACATATCAACCAGGTCCCATCCCAGTTAGTCTCGAATGAAATCAGACTTGCTGAAGAAGGGGAAAAGCAAAGCACGACGTCCCCCATCCTTCTCTGAAACGAGACAAGGACTTTGACGCCTGGTCACGACAGCATCAGCATCAGCATCAGCATCAGCAGCATCGAAAAAAAGGGGCTTATTGTCCCCCTCATCGACGAATGCGAAGCACAGCATCTCTCCAATCCCACATCTCTCCAAAGAAAAGACTGACCACATACACCGAAACAAGATACAAACAAGAAAAGCCCAGTCCAGCCCCTCGCTTCCTGTGACAAGCGCGCCAAATCTTGCCCACGCTACCAGACATTGCTACACGATCGAAGCCCACCACCCCAATCGTCATCGTCATCGTCTATCACACTACCTTACCTTCTCGCTACGTCTTTAAGCCTTGTTTTAGAGCAAGATCATCCGAGAACGAAGTAATATTTGGTGCGAATACAACAACGATGGTCAACCCAGCATACTACCCAGACGGAAGACGATATAGCCGCGTCGACCCGACATACGTCTATCCGGAACGGCAGCAACGACATCACTCGCATTCTTCTGAAGCGCGGACATCTAATATGACGGAGCGAGAGACTGACACGGATACACCCCCCCGCAAGCGTATTGCCGTTGCTGTAAGTTCCTTTCCTTTTCCTTTGTCATTCCACTCCTTTCTCATTAGCTTGGATATGCTTTACATCTCTTGTTTGTCTCTTCTCTTTCACGTATGTTTCTATATCAAAAACGAGCCAGTCCTCGAAAGGTTCAACTTGAATGCTGCAAGCCGTACAAACTAGGGGAACTTGCATACCCGTTGTTTGATGTAATAAAGATGGGGGAAGGAGGAAAAAAGATCTGACAAGATTGACAGTGTGGCCGTTGTCGGAAGCGCAAAATTCGCTGCAGCGGAGATACGGGCAACGGACTTCCATGCCAGAACTGCAAGGCCGCCGGCGCCGAATCCTGCATGTTCTTACGAGTAAGTCGAACAATGCCTATGGGGGTCTCGATGCTGCCTGCCCTCTTGGAGTCCTGGACTAACACGGAATTTCCAAAGGTCGCCTCAACAGAAGCTCCCTGGGTATCTACAGATCAAACATTCACATACGATCTCAAAGCCGCAAGAGCATACGCCCACACCGCCATGGCCTCACCCCTGAACTCGTCCCCGCCTCACCACTACACCTCCGACATCCACGACGGCCTTCCCCGCTACTCATCAACACCAGCCAGCTACTACGGCGGAAAATACTACGCCTCGCCCGCGACTATGCCGAGTTGGTCTGCCACGCCGGGCTACTCAGAGGACGCCGTGGACTACAGCCCCGCCGCGGTGGCCTCAATGGGATACCCGTACTCTTACCAGCAGCCCTCGGACACGAGCTATTACTACCGCGTAAACCCCACCGCAAAGGTCGCCGCAGCGGCACCAAGCACGGGTGACTTATACGTCAACACGGCGGACGCCGTAGCAGCGGCGGGATACGCCTACGGCAGCAACGCCGGCACCGTCACCCAGCTTCCTCACCGGCCCGCCGGAAACGTGACAGCGGCAGCGGCAGCGGCAGCAGCAGCAGCAGCGGTGCAGCAGAGCGAGGGCCAGAATTTCTCCTTCACCGGCGTCGCCGCTTCTTTGCCCCCCGCCGGTGGCGACCGTCGACTCCCCGACCCGGCTACGCGTCAACCCGTCGCCAACGCAAACGTCCTAGCCTACCGTACAGAAGGCGCCGCTGCTGCTACATCCTCTACGGCATCGGCGTCGACAAAGTCCTCAGGTAGCCCGACGTCTCAGCCATCCCCTATTTCAGACGTGACGACAAGCTACACAACTTCGGGCCCCAGCGGATCAGGAAGCTTCGAGACGTCGCCCGTGTCAGCGTACCCTCCGCCATCGCACACCGTTCCGTCTATGACGCATCAGCAGCAGCGTATTTCCAACGCTGAGATGGCAGGATACCCGCCCTCCACGACCACGAGCGGCGGTAATGAGCCCATATTCAGTGCTTCGGAATCGAGTCTCCGATCCGCGTCTGATTCCGACTTAAGCTACAAGTACACAGACTCTTCCACTGCACCGTCAGGGGTAGGCAGAGACGGCAGCGGTCGTCGCGGAAGCGGCGAGACCACGAGTTCCACTTCCTCTTCGTCGTCCACCACGCCTGTGGGCGGAGGCGGCTCGCTCTCCAACGGGCAGCAGTATACAGTCACCACGCCGTCGCCGGGCATGTACGCCTCCGTGGGTCACCATGGACGGCATCACATCGGGCAGTACATGCTCTCCGAGGAGGTCGCGGCCGAGCAGCACCATCACCAGCATCATCACGATCATCACCATGGTCACAGTTATAGCCACCAGCACAGCAGTCATCATCACCACTCGGGTCGTAGGTCTGCGAGTGGCTTGTCCGCTTCCTAGGATGAAACCTTGCGCTCCGGCCGGCCGGCTGGAGCGCTTGATGCTCACTTATTGGTGGTGCCAGCAAAGGAATCGGGGGCCCCCTTTTCCGCCATGGCAATTACTGCTTGCTGCAACATTCTTTTCGCAATCACTTTTCTTTTATTCGCCCACTCCTTTTATTGCACTTTTCGATTCTAAGAACAACTGCGATGCTGTCGACGCTCATTCTCGCCAAATGAGGACACATCCCATGACACTAACCGGTGAGAGAGGGAATCCCAACTCGGTGAAAGCGGAATACGAGCCCAGGGTATGAAAGGTGAAGAAACGTACGTCACCGAGTTCTCCAGATCCGGCATTCATATTCCTAGATGCTATTCTGGGATGTGAGAGAACCTGCAGCGTAAGCCGTGGCGGACTTTCGACTTCCTGGGTTCCTGCACGCCTTTTCATCAACACGAAACATACCGGTATGCATACTCCAATGATGAATGGGAGGTGCACGTTGTCATTGAGGAAACAAAACCGCCTCCTGGCCGTATGCTGTCGAAGCAGAGTACGCCACAGCCTTGTTCCCCCTCTCGTACGTCGTCGAAACAAAAGACGCCATTGCAGGGGAGAAGCTTTCGTTTTCAGGCAGGGGTGGTACATCGCCCACCCTCTATTCTTCTCCAGCAGGAAGCGAGACGTGGCTTGCCCTTTTGTACGAAGTCCAGGCACCGGATTTGGGGGTTCCTTTCTTCCCCGGTGGAGAGGGTGTGATCCGCTGCATGCGTGTGGCCCAGCCTTGCTTGGCTTTATCATCGACGGTACCCAACGACAATGACGACGTCTACGCCGCCAACGTACATACCGTTACCGGAGGCCAACAGAACCGAGAAAGGTTCCATCTCTGCAGGCAATGGGAGGCCCAAGAATGAAGCCGTTGGAAAATACTACCCACTGTGGCCTTGCATCCATCAATGACATCTCAGGACGCACTCCGTTCGTGTCTTTTGGTGTGGCGTGGTGGCTGTCATCGAGAACGAGAGGGGGGAGGCAGGAAGCCGAATAGGATCTCACCTCGAGACCCCGGCGGCATGATGCGGCTGCCCGAACCCGGGACGCCCGCCCCTGACACCTGTCCAGTCCTGTCCCGTTTCCTCCCTCCATTTCCCGCCTCGCAAGTTCCAAGTCAGATTTTCCCAATATTGGACCAATACTTCTCGATCGGAGTTATGAGCCCCCTCCCTTCTTCAGCCCCTCCTTTCGTGTTCCCAGAGAGCATTAGTTAACTTCTTCTCGCTCGTCTCTCCTTCAATAGTACCCCGCCTCGTGTCCGGCCGGCTCGTGTCACTGGCGAGGGATTCGGGTTCCGAGAGGAGAGCAAAGTCTGTGGTCTCTTTGGGTTGTGTCTATGTTTTTGGTTATTGATCCTGCAATTCACGCCTACACGCATGTCATCATCCTCTCTCTCTCTAATTTTACACATCCATCATTCATTACCTTTCCCCCCTAGTCACTTCCTCAATTTTCATGATCTTTGTACCTCATCGCACTTGCGTGGTCTACGTTGGGTAATCGTGTACCAGTCTGCATATCTTCCTTTGATGTCCTGTGTTTTCTCGGTCATCTGCTACGGTTTGATTGAAATGGTGTAATAATTGAATGTTGGGGGAAAGCATTCGGGTGACGGAACGGATGGACGTTTACAAGATCCCCGGGGAGAGTGTCTCGTGACAGGAACCTCATGGAAACGGCGATACAAAAAAGAATGGTAGTATGAATTAGTGGACATTGATACCTGGACAAGGGGGACTGAGGGGTATGGGGTCAGGGAGCTTTGGGGCATGGTACTTCATAAAGAAATTGAGGTTTATCAGGGGGGCATTGTTTGGTCTTCATCATGTTGCCTGCAGGCATCATGGGGCATTGGGCTGGCTGAATTCTTTTTCTGTTGCTCTTGACTTCCCTTTTTTAGTTCCCAGCCACAGCAAGCCGTGTTACAGGTGCAGCGTAGGCATGGGGTGAGTATAATTAATCAAATCACCAAAAACGGTGCGGTCCCTCAAAAAATCGCCAGGTTAATCACGCTGAGAAAATTATTCGTATGCCCTGCTCGTGAGCCACCCATGCCCAGCGCGTGATTGTTCTCAGTGCGATATACCGAGGGTCCTGTGGCATGAGCTGTCTTATCAGAGATAGAGAAGAGTCATTGAGGTCAATAAGCATTCATCCATACTGGCGTCAGAGACAAGGGCCCCTGTCAGGATCGGACTAACACCTTAGACGATGGGCAGGAATCGAGCAAAAATCAAATAAGCTCTCTCATGATGCTTTTCTTCGTGGTCTTCTCATATGGATATTGGGTATGAACAACTTGCTCCCCCCTCGTCTCAAAAACGGAGGGAAACATGGATAGTGTGTGCGCTGGCACCTCTGCAAAAAATCCCCATTTACAACTTTTCCTCCGGCTTCTCCTCAATCTCGCAAAACGCCTTGAACGTGACAAACTCGTCATCGTCGTCACCCTCGGACTGCAACACCAACTCCGCCGTCGATCCGACAAAGAAGACGTTACCCTCGCTGATCTTCTGCACTGTCGGGCCAACGGAAATGGTGCCCTTGCCAGAAGTACAGATGATGATGCTGGGACCCTCAATGGGCTCAAAGGTAACCTTGGCCCCGTCGCCATTTAGCAGCGACCGGACGACGCTGAATTCCTCAATCGGCGGGTCGTACAAGATGACGGCAGAGCCAGAGCTGTAGGCGGCGCGGTTGAGGGTGGCGTAGGGGTACTCGGATGGAGTCATCTTTTGCTCGTCAATAGGCGCGTAGTTGTAGGTGAGCATGTCGACGAGGGTGGGCACATCCTTGAACTTGGGGGTGAAGCCGGCGCGGACGACGTTGTCTGAGGCGGCCATGCATTCGATAATGTCGCCCGAGAGGTACGCGTGGATGTCGTCGGCGACAAGAAACATGGCTTCGCCGGGCTCCATCTTGACGTAGTTTAGGAAGAAGAGGACGAAGAGCCCAATGTCTGCGCCGAATTCGGCGTGGTTACGGAGAATCAGCTCCGAGAGGGTCTCGCCGTCTGTCGTGGCAACGCCGCCGCCGGCAAAATTGCTGCCTTCTGACTTGGCGAGGGCGACAAGCTTTTCCGTCTGCTTCTCAATCTCTTCGGGTGTGGCGGACAGAAGGGCGGCAAAGGCATGCTGCAGAGCCTTCTTATTCCGGTCCTTGGTCTCGGGGTTCTCGGTCTCCTCCTCACCCTTGACTGTATTGATGAATTCGTCGGCCTTGTCTTCGACGACCAGGCTCTTCAGAGGAGGAACCGTCGCGAGAAAGTGTGAGATCTCGGAAAGGGGTCGGAATCCGCAGAGACCCTCGAATGGGGTGATGGCGATAGCCATCTCGGGTTTGTGGTTGTCATCGGGGTAGTTCTTGGGGTCGCGAGCGTGCAGCTGTTCGGCAAGCTTCTTATTGGGGTGGGCCTGTATCGAGAGGGCCTTGTTGATGGAGAGGACCTTGAAGAGGAAAGGAAGCTTCGAGTCGTACTTGGAGGAGATAGGTGCGGAGAGAAGTTGCTGGTTGTCTTGGACGAGTTCGAGAAGGGTGCGACCAGACTGCAGGTCTTTTGAGGGGTTTGAGGGGTGGGTGCCCATCCAGAGCTGCAAATACCAGTTAGCAATGTGATTCTTGGGCTTAATACAGAAACAAGGTTGAGCTCACCTCTGCGTAAGGCTTCTCCGATTCAATGCTGAAGCCCTCAGCTGGCGTTGTCGCCGCAAAGCGCGCAGCTGCTGAGTCCCCTCCCTTCTTTCCCCATTCATAGGAGTTCACTCCGCATTGAAGCTTGAACAGAGGGACCTGTAGGACCATTGCGACTGAAGTGATGGAGCCAAATCAGCTCAAAGCAATTGAAAGAAGACGATGAACAAAGGTTCCAAGGGAGAGGAAAGACGCGACGACAATGGCGTACTAATAAAGTTGGGAGTGCGTATGCTCACCCCACCATTAGATTTGACGTCAGGGAGAGCTTCACTTGGGGGGACCCCGCAGAATGGAGCCAATACCTCCGGACCCCTCCAAACGATCATCCCGTGAGGTCGGAGCACGGGCCCCGGGCAAGTGGTCGGGCCGCATGGCGGAGGGCCGTTTGAGGAATCCCCGACTTGATTGGCTGTGGCTGGCCAAAAGTACGAGGTATCTTATCGATTGACCCACTTCGGCTGTATACAATGCCGCGGCGGATCGCAGCGGCACATTGGAGCAGTCGCGTTAATGAACCAATGAAGCTCTCAGCACTCCGCTTTCCTGCGCGTCACCCGATACCGCCCGTATTCTGCCATCAGCATCTCCATGATCCTTCCCCCATCTTCAAACACCTTGATTGCCATGGCATTCAGAGACCTGGCCAATTCAAAAGCTTAAATCATTGCCTTTTTTCTTTTTGGTCGCGTCATGGGCTAAGTTTTCTTGGTCGATTTCTTTTCTTGTTTCCTTACATAGCGTCTTTGCGCCTAGATACCCCAGCAACACCAGAGAGAAAGAGCTCAAGGCAAGCTCTACCGAGCTTTGGAACTGAACGTGACCCCCGACCTGCCTGCGACAGCTGGCGGAGCAACAACCAAGGGAACGTTACGCTTTCCCTGTAAGTGCCTTCATGCTCGCCTTCCTGCTTGCGCTTAGCTACCTTGCCTCCACCTACTTGTCTCAACTTCCTCCTCCCGCATTTCTATACTCTTCCTCTTCCACCTTATCATCTCTACACCCCAGTTATGCATCTCCATTGTCAGCTCAATCCGGAACTGATATCAACATGCCACAGAAACAAAACGCCGAAGCTGAGCACCCGCCTCGCAGTGGTCGGAGACGGAAACCTATCGCTGCCGAACCGAATCCCGGGAGCACATCCTCGAGCATACCTACGAGTACATCTTCTGCCTCGGCTGCCCGAGACGAGTCCACCTAGAAGAAGCGCGACTCGCCCAAGGTCCAGCCCAGCCCTTTGGAATCATTGCAAGCCAAGATGTCTCAGCGAAACCGAAGCGGCCGCGGCTCAAACCGCAATAATGGCAGCGGCCATGGCGAAGAGGTGCAGCTATGGGAATCTGCGAAGGAAAAGTTCCACGAGGTTGTGAACGGTGTCAACCAAGAAAATGACAACTTGGCCGAGCTATTGAAGCTTGACAAGAAGGCAGCCATGGCCAGCATGGACGGTGGAAACCCATCAGGCAGCGATCTTAACAAGATGGAGCAGAACTGCCGTTCTGGTGTCAAGCTGTCGGAGAACAACTCGAACAACATCAAGAACCTCATTGAACAGCTTAAAAT